GAGTAATCATTGAGATACCTGGACAGCCATAAAGCTCCATTCTCATTGAAATATGATTGTGCCACACTGTTGGCCGAAGTCGTATGTAGCGGGCTGAGATGGGTGGGCTGAGTTGGTGGGATACAGGTGTGTCGCTGTCTTGATTTGCATGGAATTCCTGAAATTCAGTCAATAAATAATTTCATAACTTGGGGTACATGAAAATTTTGAATGACTTGAATACGGAAAAATAATTAGATATCTGGACGGCAATTAGGAATAAAGCCTTTTTGACAATCTTTCAATGTGATTAGGTTTATTAAAAGTTTTTTTGTTTCAAAGAACTTGGTCGTTTGCCAAGTAAGTCTTCCCCGCACTGCTGAAAAACGTTAACTTGCATGTCGTGATGATGCCTTATTTTTCATAACATTTGAATGCAAGATGCTGACCTGTATCCATGTCACTAAATAAGTAGTGAGACCTAAAATATAGGTTAACTATGTTGTGAATAAAATAGAAAATAATGAGATTAACAAATGTTTTATACAGTACCTTAGGAGAATCGTGACCTGGTAATTTGTAGAAGTGAAAGTTGACTCCATCATCGCTGTACTGCAGCTTGTATTTGGTTACCCACTGGTTAAATGCGTTTCTTCCTTGTGTTACTATTTGTGATACTTTTGTGTAACTAGCAAGATCGACTTGAATCCATTGTTTGACATTATTTGTTCGAGATGACCATCCTCCTGCTCTACCTCCACCTGCCTGAAAGTTTAACCTTGCCTGGATTGCGGCATGATTGCCATCGTATTGTGAAGAGGCGGTGATTTGTACATCTTTGATAAGGCCACTCTCCATGCCAAGAGGCGATGTACATGCTGCATAATTGGTAAAATGAGCAGTTGCCAACAGTGCATTGGATAATTAATTGGCAATGCCATACCGCCGTAATTTTGCGTTCCAAAGGAACCAGTGCGAAAAGTTGTCTTATTTTATCTCTGCCATTTTATTTGGCATCGCTTGAAGAATGGATTGTTGACAACATTACTAATATCATTAACATTAAGAGTGTCGCCAACCCTAATATACCAATAATATGGTAAACATTTAAACTTACTCAACCCTAGCTCTTCTTAAATGGTGATTTACATATAAGCATTGCTTTTGTTTACATCACAGTCGTCATGGGGCGCTTTCCATTTATATTGTACCCAAAATTCCGCAACTTTCGAAATAAAAGATCTCTCAAAACAACCGCAAAATACAAAAGTTGTGGAATTCCTGAATAGCGAACCGTTCAACCGAACAATACAGGATTTTCCGGCAGCAAAACTGGAACGGATATTCACGGTAAGAAATTTTCAAACATTTGGGTATACCCTGCGGTGTTTTCCTCTTTTGCGGAAATTCTAGAAAATGCTGCTCTATTCGCCATTGCATGGAATTGTCCGGAAATGCGAAGCTGAATTTTTATCGAATGGAAAGCCCCCATGTACTGGTGTTTGCAGTATTTATAAAGAGGTCAACTTACTTTGGTCGCAAAGTGCTCCAGTGGAATTGTATCCGCAGAGACATTGAAATGTGCCTATTAAGTTCATGCAGGTACCACCATTCAGACAGGGGCTGGAATGACATTCGTTGATATCTGGAAATACGAGAAAAGATTCCCAATTACAGACCGACACAAGAATACTCAGGAAGCTGAAAATAAGTCCGAAAGATTTTAAAAGTCGAATTTATCTTTTCCATTGATCAATTCGGACATTCTCCCCCTGGAAACTAAATTCAATTAAATTATCCTAAAATGTAACTACCTTAGTAGATGATATTTAACTGCAAAGATCTTATACTCTTTCTATCTGAATTTGATTCGTCCTCTATCAGCAAGGTGGTAAGAGTAATAGGTAAATCAACCTAGATGGATATCTAAGATAAACCACGTGATTTGTGAGTTACCTTCGTCGCAGTTTTTCCCTTCAAAGCCATTTGGACAAGAACACTGATAATCTCCAGGTAAGTTGGTACACGTTGCTCCATTCTGACATGGGTTGTTTTTGACACATTCATCTGCATCTATGGAGAAGAAAATTGTTTCGGAGACTAATGGCTTATCATTGCTGTTACCTTATGAAGCTTTCTCTCGGTTTTTGTGGTTCGAAGCTATTGACAAGCATTGCTATTTCTTCGTTATAGGATGTACGCTGCGTAGTTGAAGTTGCTGTCGCCAGCAACGCATTTTTTCTCTATCACTGTCATAACCCGTCTTCATCAATGCTCTAAACGCAACTATACAACTTTTCAACTATTCCCAGATAACAAATCAAGCTGCCCGACTTTACAGCCTAATTTCAGCGCATAACTCGCGTTGAAAATGAATTGCACAGGATCATTTCCTACTCTGGGCCACTAGGCATTGCACATGGGGTAAAGTCAAAGTTTGAATTGCTGTCCGTTTGTTTTGACTCGTACATCCTAGCTTGAACTTTATATTGAAGCCATGTTTGCCTAAACTTTACAGCAGAATGGTTGAAATCCAATGGTCCATATATACAGCTGGAGATAAACCCACTTTTTGAATCATTAATCCACTAGGAGTATTTTTACTCCCCCCTTGATGGAATGCTAGTCCTTCGCAGGGTTATGCCCTCCCCCCCTCCCCTCTGAGTGGAGAGAGGCACTGCAAGAGCAAACGTTCTTGCCTAACACAATGACCGCGGCCGTAAGGGCTCGAACCAGAACAGCTCGATCCAGATTCCAACCCACTAGCCACCACGCTTCAACATACTCTACAGCGAGTCTTAACTAGTCTCGAACCATGCCGGTTGCACTCTCCTCGTCGCTGAAGGTCAACTTAATGAACTGCCTTGACAATTTTAGTGTATTACCTTGGTCGCAACGCTTTCCCTCGTAGGCGTCTGTGCATGAGCATCGATAGCTTCCTTTAGTGTTGATGCATGTGGCGCCATTCTTACAGGGATTGTAAGAACATTCATCTAAATCTAGAAATCGAAAGAAAGAATGACGATTTTAATTAAAAAATATTGGAATTGGAACCATCATAAAAAGGATTGGGCCGAGCATTGTTCAAATAAGGAGCTGTATCATCATTATTCGAAGGATGGTTATTACTGCTTTACCCTGACATCATAAAGGGTGATATTTACATGTATGCAATACGGGCCTCGATACCACCATATATATACGTTGCGTAACCACAAAAAAGCGAACTCTTTACCTTGTTCACACTGTTTTCCAACAAAGCCCATGGTACATGCGCATCTGTAGCTACCATAGGTGTTGTAACAAGACCCGCCGTTTTCACACGGATAGTAGTGTAAGAAACCACACTCGTCTATATCTAAAACAATAAAAAGGATTATTTAAAGAATGGATCGAAATAGACCCGGAATCAATAAGAATTGAGACAAATACTGTAAGGAAAGTCTGAAAGTTAAGTCGTCTTTAACAAACCACAATCCATGTGCATTGCAAACGTGACAGTAGTGACTTTGCCTTATTATATATTTTCTTTTCATTGCTTACTTTGCTACTTTTCGCTGCTATTTCAGCTTCTGTTACGCAGTTATGCAGCTGTTCTCATGCATACATTTCGGTCTAAACTACTTACCATCACAACACCTTCGCCCTTCAAATCCTGGTCTGCATTCACATTTGTAACTTCCAATAGTGTTGATGCAAGTAGCCCCGTTATCGCATGCCAAACCACTGGCGCATTCATCGATGTCTAGATTCGAGGGGTATGTTAAGAAGTCAGCCTGTTAATACTAAGGTTGTTTTCGGGGGAAGGCTATCAGTATCTGATATCAACGTGATCTATGTGCTCGATGGCACCAGATTTTATTGTTAGATTCATTCAATGAGAAGTGACACAATTTGTGTGCAGCGTGTACAAACCCCTACAATTAACTGGGAGAAATCTTTCAATAAGGTGTTTTTTATAACTACATAACTACATCAGTATTAACGTATAACTTACTATTTGCTTGTTTGTTTCTTCAGTTTGCTGTGTCCTTTGACAAGCTGAAAATATTTTTACTCACCATATTCACAATGTTCCCCTCTAAAACCGCAACGGCATTTGCATTCATACTGGTCTTCTCCAAGATCGATACAGGTCGAATTATGCTCACATGGATTTTCGTTTTTACATTCCTTGACAACTGAAAATCAATGAACTTTTTATTGTTGGAGAGGTTCTAACAAACCCTTCGAGGATTCATATTCAAAAGAAAAATAATTGCTTGCATGGAAAAGGTTTATGATTGCATAAGCAGAAAATTTATCAAGCAGCAAATTTCGTCCGCACTTCTCAGGTGTTCGTAAAAATTTTCGTCTGATTGGACAACTCAACAGTCCAATTGGGCGCCTCAACTGGTCCCTTAACAACGGCGGCGAGAAGGGGAATAATCGAATTGGGTAGCAGGTAAATAGAAAATCCTATTTTCTACAGTTATTGGAATTTTAGCATCAACCGTGGTCTACGATTTTGGTTTTCATCCAAACAAATGGACATAGTGCTCGAGTAATTATATCAGCTCGCCCAAAAATAGATCAGCCTTACATTTTTAACATTTACAAAATTAAAGCAGGTCTGTAAAATAAAGTGCACGCGGGCACTACTCAATTTCACTTGAAAGAACTTATTGTCCAATCAGAACAAGTGCTGTAATCTTTCCCCTGCGTATATACATAGACGTTTGAATTCTCCCAAGCTACTCACGTTTTTGCTCCGGAGTAATGACTGTGGACTGCTCACGGTTCATTCTAATTACACTTAGTAGAATTCTACTAGTATACTAATGCAGATGCTGTAGTCTGATTGGCTGAGCCATTGAACACTATCAGCCATTAGTGTGCAGTGGCTGGAGGTCGACGTCTAGGAAATGGCGACGTTTTTTTCGTTTTTCCATAGTTTTGAAGGAAAATTTTGATGCAAATGGATCATTAAATTCCTGAGAAGTCTAAACGAAGGACATTTAGGGTTTCTTGACTTTTAAAAAAGTTGACATTATTGAAAAACGAATGCGCGCGCACACACAACTTCAATCCGATTCAATCCGAGCGATCTTTTTCAGGCGCAAAGTTTAATAATACGTCAAGAAATAATTGGAAACCGTTATTTGGAATAAATTTTGGTAAGAATTCTCGCTCTCGATTTCTATGAGGTGATAGTTGATTCGGCCTTCGGCCTCATCAACTATCACCTCATAGAAATCGAGAGCGAATTCGAATAATCTAATTGTTAAATAGAGGACCCGAAATGTTGGGTCCTCATCAAACGAGGATTTGCTTTGGTTTTTCCCCTTAATTTAATAACGTTGTAACTAAAATCGCAAATAGCCTTTAACTCACCACAATCACAGCGTTTTCCGCGAAATCCCGGTCGACAGCTACACTTGAATCCACGTTTGGTGTCAATACATGTTCCACCGTACATACACGGATCACTGTCACATCCCTCGTCTTTTTCTTTTGTACGCATGTAATACAGCATTGAGAAGTTAACATTCAGCAAAAGACGGTGAAGATATATAGTTAAGAAATTTTTCTCAGTGTAATATTCTACTACTACTCATGAGACGACTTGAAGGAAATATGAGCTGAAGTGTTTTTTTTTTCAGTATTTCTGAATTGCTAGTTCGAAAGACGCATTTAACTTGAGAAACTGTAATATTGCTTAACATCTGTGGTCCCAGCTTCTGTGCTCCCAGTCCCAGTTTCAGCTTTTTTAGTGATGCTAGATTATGAAAACGGACCAGGAGCCCGGATCGCGAAGGTTCAGAAAAGGTTTCGTACCAGAAAACCATAGTAAAATCTCAAGCCTTATTTTTACGGGCTGTTTTATTCACAGATTATTAAAATGAACAGAGGTTCCCTTCATACAAGAAGTTTCAGGTGTATACATCTCTCTGGTTTTAGATACAGATTACTAAAAATGGCTTTTTGGGCCCGAAGATGTTCCGGGGCTTTCGGGAAACGGGCCCCTGTTCTCATTTCAGTCGATAGGAACGTATATACGTAGTACTATTCCTAATTAACAATAGACCGTTGATCTGTTCACTCACCCTCTATGAGGTCGGGATCTGCACGCTTAAGGGACCCGAATCGAAGTGGTTCATCTGCGATAAGAAAAGATGTGTTGTTGGGTAATTAACCGAAAGATGTTATAACTTAATCGATATTTAGCAATTTGAAAGACAGATAACGATAAAAACAGAAAATGCAACAAAGTCCGCACGATGATTGCCTGCATGTATAGCCGCTTTGCATTGAAGTTATGTGAACCCCGTATATATCACTAACTGCCATTGTATTTTGCAACTGTTGACTCTACTTTCGAAAAGAGATGATGGAAAAGG